GTAACGCGTATCGTAACAATCACGGTGATAATCACACTGTAACCGTAGTAACGCGTATCGTAACAATCACGGTGATAATCACACTGTAACCGTAGTAACGCGTATCGTAACAATCTCGGTGATAATCACACTGTAACCGTAGTAACGCGTATAGTAACAATCTCGGTGATAATCACACTGTAACCATGGTAACGCGTATCGTAACAATCTCGGTGATAATCACACTGTAACCGTAGTAACGCGTATAGTAACAATCTCGGTGATAATCACACTGTAACCATGGTAACGCGTATCGTAACAATCTCGGTGATAATCACACTGTAACAGTAGCAACGCGTATTGTAACAATCACGGTGATAATCACACTGTAACCGTAGCAACGCGTATCGTAACAATCACGGTGATAATCACACTGTAACCGTAGCAACGCGTATTGCGACAATCACGACAACAATCACATCTGTGGTTAGCGCGCATTAATGCATAATGTGCTGGTAACAACAACAACAAGAACAACAACAACAACAACAACAAAAACTCAGTGACGTTGTGTTGATGATGTCCGAACGACGCGTTTTCACGTGACGCGCCGGTAAAACCAACAACAACAACAACAACGCGGTGTTTGTGATTACGTCGGAACAGTGTCGGAAAACAAGGGCCTGTGTCATCCGTCGTCGATCGACTCTCTGACGACGAGTGGCGGACAGGAGGACCACGTCTCCATGGGCGGCTGGGCGGCGAGGAAGGCGCTGATAGTCATCGAACACGTCGAGTACGGTAAGTGGCTCTATCTAGCGGATGTTTACAGAGTTTATAGTCAGGCAAGGATCGTGTGTGTGAGGGAGGAGTAAGCGCCATCTGGCGGATGTTTACGAAGTTTATGGTCAGGGGAGGATCGTGTTAGAGAGGAGTAAGCGCCCCCTGGTAGACGCGCGGTAAGTTTATGGCCAGGCAAGAATCGTGTGTGAGAGGGAGAAGTAAGCTCCCTCTGGTGGGGAAAGGGGGAGAATTTTATCGAGCTGGTATCTGTGTTTGCCTCGGAGCTTCGACGAAAAGTAAATGAATGTTTTTGGAAAAGTATGAAGATGGCGATTGCGATTAAGATAGAAGGGAACCAATATATTGGATTAGATATATATATACGGGATTGCAGAAACGAGACAGAGACAATACGAGATAAAACGATAGATATTTGAATAAAGATATAGTTAGAGACAAAGAGATAGAGAGAGAAAGAGAGGGTGAGAGAGGGAGAGAGAGGGAGAGAGAGAGCAAGCGAGAGAGAGAAAGAGAGCGAGAGAGAGAGAGAGGGAAAGAGGAAAAGAGAGAGAGCGAGTGAGAGAGAGAGAGAGAGAGAGTTAGTATTTACTTATTACATATTACTATATACCTCACACAGTGACAGCAATGTCAATGCCTTCTCCTAATCGAGTTCTATCTGTATATAGGCTAGGATCTTCCTGATCTACGGTCCAAGTCTTCCCAAGGCAGCGATTATCTATGAATTATAATGAACTGAATGTCATAGAGCATACGAAATAATAATATTGTCTTATCTGCGTATACGACTAGCGTTCATAGCTTAAGCCGTAGTAATGTGTTTATGGGTGTCATCCACAAAATATGTCGGTCTACGGTCATGAACTCTGCATAGAACCAGCACGGACTAGCACTAACAACTTGTACTGGACGTGTCTAGAATAGTAGAGCACTTACAAAGATCCTAAATCGAGCATAGTACAGTAAATACAGGTATTAAACAGGCATATATTACCCGTTTAGCCATATACCCGTTTTATATACAGGTATTAAACAGGTGTTAAATAGGCATTAAACACAGATGCGAGTACGAATATATTCATGGTGGTGTACATGCGTACTGTATTAATTCATCACTATGACGAACATTGCTTTAAATATTCAATTTATTAACTTTGTTGTTCGATTTTTTTTCGATAGTCATTTTCATCACAATAATGTAGAATCGTAGTCGAGATTGTATATTGTCTAATATATTTTTGAGATAAAGTATTTTGTTTGAAAATATTTTGCTAATTTGTATGATTTCAGAATGCTGCAGGAAAACCTGATCAGATCGCACGCGGCAGGTACGGAAACGTGAAACATACAGAAATGAATATAAATAAATAAACGAATAAAAATAAATAAATAAATAGAATAAATAATAAATAAATAAATAAATAAATAAAAAAAATATAAAAAACGTAAATGAATAACGATTATGATAAAAACGCTGGTTCGTCTGTATTTGTTGCCATGGTAACGTGATGACGCGTGCTTCAGGAGTCGGCGCGCCCCTGACGCCGGAGCGGACGCGCATGCTGATGGCGCTGCGATGCAACGTGCTAGCTAAAGGTTACAGCGGGGTGACCCTGAAGGTCATCAGTCAGATCGTGGATGCGGTTAACGGTAAGCAATGCAATGACCCCATGCAGCGATATGTGTGAATGTTCTGTGTTGGCAGCGACAGCAGCGACGGCAGTGATGACGATAGCGTGGTATTGACGATTGTGATAGCGACGGCAGCGATGACAGTGATGACGATAGCATGATATTGACGGTTATTGCAGCGACAGCAGCGACGACAGTGATGGCGATAGCATGTTAGCAAGGCGGTATAGTGGGACAGTAAGAATCAGTCAGTCATAATGAAAAATACTGTTCGGCGTCTCCCCTCTCTCTTTCTCTCGTTCTCTCTCTCTTTCTCCATCTCTCCCTTTTTGCCTTTCTCTCTCCCTATCTCTATCTGTCTCTCCCTCGACCCTTCTCTTCCTCTATCCCCTCTCTCACTCATTCTCTCTCTCTCTTCGTTTCTCTCTCTCTCTTCGTTTCTCTCTCTTTCTCTCTATCAATTTCTCTCTCTCTTCTCTCCCTTTCCCTCTCTCTCTCCTCTCTCCTTCTCCCTCTCTCTCTATTATCTACTCTCTCAATGTCGTCCTTCCTTTCCGCATCCTCGTGCCTTTCCTGCATCTCCATCTCCCTCTCCCTCTCCCTCTCCCTCTCCCTCTCCCTTTCTCTCCCTCCCTTTCTCTCCCTCTCCCTCTCTCCCGCTCCCGCTCCCTCTCCCTCTCCTATTTCTCTCTCCACCCTTATCCAACCCCTCTCTTTATCGTTCTGACGCGCAGTCGTCCTTCCTTTCGGCAGCTTCGTGCCTTCCCTGGGTGCCGGAGAAGGGCACGGTTGGAGCTAGCGGGGACCTGGCTCCTCTCGCCCACCTCGCCCTCGGCATGATGGGAGAGGGAAAGATGTGGAGTCCCAAGTGTGGCTGGGGCGATGCGAAATACGTGAGTACGAGTAGCACATGACATTGTTATTCTTCTTATTCTTCTTATTATTATTGTTAGTAGTAGTAGTAGTAGTAGTAGTAGTAGTAGTAGTAGTAGTAGTA